ATGGGGCCTCACAAGAGCAGAGTAGAGGGGGACAATCACCTCCCTATCCTTGCTGGCCACCCCTCTTCTGATGGAGCCCAGGATACATTGCTGGCTCATATCCAGCTGCCATTCACCAGTATCCCCAGGTCCTTTTCTGCAGGGCTGTGCTCTATCCTTTCATCCCCCAGCTGGTATTGATATTGTTGGTTGGAAAATGGTGTTTCATGGCAAGTTCTTGGCTCGTTTATTTTTGCATTTTGTACTCAGTGCTGTCTGAGGGAAAGGTCAAATTTCAGAGGAAGTCAAATTGCCACAAAATGGAAATATTTGTTGGAAACAAAAACTTTTGGTATTTGAGTTGTCACTGCAGATTTACAGATATCTGTTGGCTAAGAGGAACAGACACTTTTCAAACTGCTCCAAATGTGTCCTTCACAGCAGTGTCAGTGCCAGCAGTGACTGCTGCCCCACACAGCAATCTGAGGCTGGTTGCAACATGAACATTCCTCAATGCTGACCCAGATAACCTGTGCTGTTAAATAAATTACACAGGATAACATCATTATCTCCTTATTCTGAGGTCTAAAATTTACACGTCTAAACAAGGTTTGGCATCTTTTCTCTCTGCAACAGGTGATGGAAAGAAGCAGCTTTCTCCAGAAGATAATTTTTTAAAACTTAAAATAGACAGATCAAATGAGCAGGAGGAGTCACTCCATTTCTCTCTACCAGCTGCAGAGGAACTTGCTGCTCTCTCTAGTTTGTAAAGTGCACAGGAGTACACAGGTTCTCACAATGTAATCATACAGTAAATAGCAAAATAGGGGTGTGTGCTATTGCCCCATCTTGAAAATAGTTAAAATTAGTTGCTGTCACCTTTTTGTAGGCATAAGATCTGTATCCCTATAAACTGAATGTAAATTGAAATAAGTTCAGTATTATCTGATGCAATCACCATTGCCACTGTTTGCTAATGACTACAAGTATCACAACTCTTGTGATACTTGGAGCTTTCCAAATGCCACTGCTAGAGTCTTTTGCTTTCTTGTGGAGCTGACATTCCACAAATGGAATAAGAAAGAGATAAAGAAAAAGAAAAGAGAAAGGAAAGGACCTGAATTTCATAGCCATCGAGAAACTGTAAACCACCAAACCAAACATTAAACATATCAGTAGAGAAACCACTTTCTTCTACCTTCACTGCTACACACGTGTAAAATATTTTCAATCCAGTTCACAGAATATTTTAACTTTCTGTGCAGGACTGCTTTCATTCTCAGACATTGCACTTTTCCTGTTTGCATTTCTCATATTGTTCTTATTACCCACTCAGCCATCTATTTTTAACTTGATTTGACATGAATTTCTTTCTTGCCCTCTTTCCATATACTAATTCATCTGCACTGACCTTATTTTCACTTTCAGCAAGTGACACACTTCTGAAACACACACACACACGTATAGCTGGAACATACCCATATATATATTCCATGCATACCTTCAGTTTCTGCACTGTCTTTGCTACCGACCAGAATTTTTCACTGCAAAAACAACATCCTGATGAAGTTCAGTGTCCCAGTTTTCTTTAGCCTGTCTACTGAATCTAGATGTTGTATGGCACTGTAATAACATGACAGGAAATCTTTAATTTCTAAATCCCGTAGCTGGATGTATTCTAACATGATGATGGTTACTTTGCATTTGCAATGTCTTATTTAAATGCCATAGTCCTACAGCTGTGTGAAGCTCTTTGGCATGTGATGCAATGAGGCTATCTCAGTAAACTTCCAACTGGGCTGGGCTCCATATCACAGCAACCACGACGACCATGGTTGGCAGCACGTACTCCCTAGGTATCTATTTTAGCAAGTACTGAATGAGTGGGGAACGTAGATCAGGGCAGAGCTACACTGGCACAGTGATACAGGGAAACTCATGCTGCACCTTTCAGAAGATAAACAAAGGACTTTAGCCTCTGGAGCTGACAGCCCAGCATTTTTTGCAAGAGGCTAAATAAATAGAGCAAACAAAAACATGCCTTTGATATCAGCCCTAGAATTGTGCATCCTGTTGCTAACCTGAGATAAGAGGAAGCCTTTTTCATATGTAAGAATGCATGCGATCTGACGGTTTCACACTGCTGCTGTTTCCTTTTTCCTTCCCTCTCTAAAATGCCAACCCTATTGGAAAATCAATCTTATGCAAGTTCTCTGTGTGCTGTGCTCTTGCCAAGACCCCGGACTCGTTCACAGTACACTGCCCCTTTGTGCATAACGAGCCTCCCATATGCTGCAGGACTTGTCAGCCATTGAGTGGTGCCTGTGACCCAGCTGTGTGCTAACGAGGATGGCAACTACGCCTTCTTTTGGAGATAAAAGAGACAAGACAGCAGCCTCAGCTGGTGAAATAAAAGGCATTGGTGGAAAATGTGTCCAGTTCTATAATTCTTCATTTCCGAAGGCCTTCCAGAAGCTTTCTGTATGCATGGAGAGCTTCCAAGGTGGCTCTGAAAAAGATTTATATTCCTAAAGAATATTTTGATAAATAAAAAAATCTGTAATTTACAACTTTATTTTTGCAATAGTAGCAAAGGCCCCAAGTAACAGCAGTAATCGGTGCTATTGTCTGGAACTCAGAATAAGGAAAACGACAGGTTTTGATGTTATGACACTGCAGTTGTCAGCCATCCTGCACAGCTCACACCCAGGTTTCTTGAAGTGTCCTGCCTAGGTATGCCAAAGATACTCACGATTTGTGCTTGTAGAGCTCTATCTGTTCTCTAAGTGTTTCCCATCAATCCCCTTTCATTTACTGTCCCATACCCTCAGGTAGGCAGTCTTGTGTTGACTCATGCAACCAACCAGCCCACAAGAGCCCTGACAAAACAAAAGCTTCTAGAAGTGGCTGTTTGGGATATGAGAGCAATTCCAATTTTCTATAGATGTGTGGCTGCTCTAGGCTCCTCTGCTTTGTACGAACTTTGCAGTGATTTTCACTGCCAGATTTGTCATATCCACAAAATATTTATTTCCCCAAACTAAATCCAGAATTTTCTATATTGTTGTGCTCTGCAGCCAGCACAATGAAACAGCCCTGTGCTGCTTCCAGAAAAAATGCTTTTCCCATGATATTCCGTACAAATTCCAGTTGAAGGCAGAGCAAATGACTTCTCTGCAAGTCATAAGCCTGCCTTGTTTGTTTGCAAAACTATCTATCTGCTGATGTATCTATTTTGTTTATTTCCTAGTCAGACACTTTTCTTTACTTTCCCCTCACATTCCTCTCATTTCTGTGCGAACACTGTACCCTCTAGCATAACCAGATGGGTATAAAGACTAAGCCTTTAGCTAATTTTTAGCTTATATTGGCAATGTCGATAAATTTCTTGGAGTGGCAGTGTTTTACACCAATACTGTTTGTTTTTTCTTCTTCACATTTAATAGTTTTCTGCTAATATAGTTAGTATTTCCTACATGATCAGCTTACTTTCTTTAAGAGCTGTAATTTTATAGGCCTTACTATAGCTAACCTGATCTTATTGACAGACAAATCATCACATGGCTATACATATGTCAAGAGAAGGGAAAAAAAGCCATCATTTGTACTCACCATCCACATATGCCACACTTTCCTCTCTAATGCTCACACTTCATGCACACCAAGTTTCTGTTGTCAGGCTTTTCCACATGGACCCATAGTTCTGGTCTCTTTTGCTCTGCCTCAGGCAAGTAGCTCAGTAGGAGTTACTGAGGAAAATAAGATTTTATTTTTGTGCGAAGAAAACCAAAGCTGAACGATCTGAAAGTTCATTCATTGCTCATCTAAACCACAATGGGTTTCTGCTGCTGTAAATCTCTTCCTTTCCCATTTTTGTTATGTCTGTAGCTGATCCTTATGCTCTTCTTTATCTATGTTTTGGTACAGTGTTTCTCAGAACATATCAGCACAGAGAAACTACAGTTATCACTACAGATACTGCTGTAGTAAACACAGTAACAAATTTCATCCTATCCAAGCATTAACCCAGAGCTGGAAATGGGAACTGCACTGCACTGAACTGCTGTGAATGAGCCTGGGAATATGGAGAGCTCACCAAAGCGTTTGCAATGAAACACAAAGGCTGTGTGCAAACATTTTCAAATGTATTAGACATCGGTGCAATGAGAAAAAGTTCAGAGGGAATAATAATAAAAACAATACAGAAATAAATTTAATAATGAAAGCAGCAGCATTATGCTCCTATATATCTCCCCACATATACAACAAATGATGGTTTTTTATTGTTATGCCTTGTCTACTGGGGAAGAAAGGTTAAAGCAGATTGTTGCCTGCTTCGCCTTGCGCCTTCCTCCAGAGAGACCACAAATTGGTGATGAAAATGTGGTTTGTGGAGTAATGAGCTGTGTCTCTTTTTGGCTTAATCAATGAAGTTAAGCACATGTGCAACTCTTAGCAGTCAGGTGCTCGAGGCAGCTCGGCTTGGGGAGCAGCGTTAGCTGTATTTCATCTTTCACGTTCCTGTCCTGCAGTTTGCCCTGTATCCATGCCACAGGAAACCCAAGGCCTGCATCCCCCCGTTTATTTTGGCAGCCCGTTCCCACACACGCAGCAACGTTGTGCAGTTTAACCACCGCCGAATTTTGGATTATTTACTTCTCCCCTTACTCCGCGCACGCTTTTCTTTCTACCAGCACGAGTAAACTCTAATTTTACACTTCACATTTTCGCTTAGGAGAAGCGAAACGCTCGGGGGACGCGGGCTGCTTTCCGCGTTCTGTGCGTTTTGGTACAGCAGCAGAGCGGCGTTGTTGCGCGACTGCGTGCAACCGGCCGCAGCACCGACGGCGAGAGGCTGCGGCGAACGCCAGCACCGCGCCGCCCGGCGCCTCAGGGCCCTCCGCCCCGCGGGCCGGCACTCGGAGCGCCCGGCCCGGCCCGCCCCCGCCGGCGGGAGGCTGCGGAGGCTGCGCGGGGCGGGGACTGGCGCGGGAGGAGAAGATGGCGGAGGCCGAGTGAGTGCCGGGGCTGCCGCGGCGACGCCCGCGTCGAGGGGGGCGGCCGGGCCGGCTCAGAGCTGAGGCTGGGGATGCGCGGGGCTCGGCGAGGACGGCCGCTGAGGGAGGGCACGGCGCGGAGGGGCTCGGGTTGGAGCTGCCGCAGAAAAAGGCCGCCCCGGGAAGCGCCGAGCCCCCAGCCGGGCCTGCTGCCTGCGGGCTGGGCCTCGTAACGCGCCTCGAGGGGTCAGCGCCGCCCGTCGGTGCCTGCCGTGGTGTCCGGGCGGTGGGCTGCCCAGCCCCGTGCCCCGAGCAGTGGGGTTGGTGCTGCCGGGCTCCCTGCCTCTCCTAGGGCGCAGGTGGTGGTGGTGGTGTCCCGTTGTTACGCTGCTGCTGCTGCACGTCCCTTCTTCCTCGGCTCCTGCTGCGCTGAGCTGTTTCTACCGCATCTTATCGGGCGAGAAGCGTTGTTGTGAGCCAACAGAAAGCTCGTGATGAGCGTGCGGAGCGCTGGGGAGTGTTTGCAGCACGGATCTTCTAGTTATAAACCAGTTAAGTGACTGAGTGTTTTAAATAGTCAAGGGTGATGATTTTCTTATGAACTCTGGAAGACAAGACGCCGTGCAGTTGCCCTGCAGACCATACCTGGCTCTCTCAGCTGCTGCGTTTGGTGTGCTAAAAGGCTTGGGCTGGGGCCGTGTGCCACCAGAGAGGGAGAGTGAAGCAGAGACATTGTGTGCATGCCAGCCTGTAGCTTCCTGAGTGCTTCTGTAGCTTCGAATATTGGTTCTTAAGAGAGAAAGGCTCAGAAGTAATGTTGGTACCTTAGATGGAGTATTCTGTCTGAATGGAAACCCTGTGCAAGATACAGGGCTTGAAAGGAGGCATACCAGCTCTCAGCCCAGAAGAAGGGGTTGATGTCTTTAGAAATCTTAATTTCCATCTACATTAAAGGAAGCAGCAGTAAATATTTTGATGTGCAAGTGTGTGCTCTGCCTGAGAATCTTATATCGAGGCTGTCAGAGGCTGAGAAGAACCCTGACAATGGGTTTGGTCAGCAGTTGCTTTTCTCTTCTCAGTTTCTCTGTGGTATGCCAGAAGCCAGTCAGCAGAGAAAATTTGGAATCTGTAATAAAGTAAATGGAAACAACATGTGTAGGGTGAGAAACCAGGGCAGAAGTCACCATGTCATACTAATTGGAGATCTGGCATTACTTGTTCCAAACACATTAATTGGTGTTTGTCCACTACAAGTGTCCTTGTGCTGATAGAGTTGTTTGCATCACAGTAAAAAGTCTCACCTGGAGTGCCTCAAATGGCTTCCAGCTGCAGGAGCTGTACAAAAGGCAGCAACCAATCCTCTGACGTACGGGGAAAAAGAAAAAAAAGTAAGGTCTGATCAATTTTTGCATACGTAAAACATTTTACGTAGTGCCTCATGGGACAGCTGATGATTCTTAATTAAGTTGGAGACTATTGTACTCAAAGAATTACAAGTAGCAGAGTCTTGTTAGAGGGAGATATCAAGAGATGGTTATAAAATTGGGAAATAATAGCTGCAGGGAAATTATTAATAGATTTCCTCAAAGATTGGGAGTTGAGTTGGTCTTGCTTAATGCTTTGGTTGATGACTTTGCATAAAATAGGGCTGTCGTATTGATATTTGCTGATGACTTGAAGTTGGGAAATGTTTGCAGGGTCAGAGAGGACGGATATCCTGCAGGAAAAATGGAATGACATGGAGTGTCAGAGTAATGCGTGTGGGATAAAATGTAATGTGCAAAGTTTGGGACTGGTACTAAGAAACAGGAGGCTGCCAAAAGGAGAAAAGAAAGTATTGGGAGTAGTGATGGATCACCGGATGTGAACTATTACATGAGGGGAGTGGGGGAAAAAAAGCAAAGGTGGTCTATGTGCTGCAGCAGAACTTGTTTAAGCAGACACAAAAGTGGGAACTTCCTTTCACAAGGCCAAGAGATCCACATTTGGAATTGTATATATCAACTCTGTTCATACAGTATAGAAAAAGGGATGTTCAGACTTAGGAAATGCCAAGAGCTGTTGGGATAATGAAGGAAGTGGAGAGTCAGTTTAGTATGTTTTCCTAGGAAAAATCGAGATAAGGAGTGTCTCTGACATCATGTGTTCATAAGATTTCCCCTGCATATTGTGTGTATTCCTGCCATCAACCGTGGGCAAAGTCCCCGGGGTGGGGAAGGTTCTCAGCTGAAGGTGTGATTTGTTTGCCATTCCCTGCTTTCTTTCCTGGAGGCTAAATGTATTATCTCAGCTCTGCTGCTGTGCCATCCGGAGGAAGGGAAAGCAAAACCTGGAGCACCTCCTTTTTGCTGGAAGGAAGCATGCTGCAGATGCCAGCCCTACTGCAGACGTCTCAATGCTTGGTGTGAGTCAGGCTGCTGACTCAGAACTAGACACCCTGGTTGCCCTCTTCCCCCTCTGCCTCACCAGGACATGTTTGTGATTACAAATACCATTCAGAAGCATCCAGGCAGAAGAAATCTTGTGTTTTTTGAGAGGACTGCTGCCTCTCCAAACTGTCACTGGGAAGTTGCATGTGATTTGAACACTTTTTCTCTTTTGTTTTGCTTCTTGGAAGGAATAGTGCCAGAGGATGCTGCAGCATGGCCTCACATCTTTGTTGGAGCTATCTATCTTAACCAGCCCAGATGTATTTCCTTTGCCTTTTGGCATTGGGTCAGCAAAAGTGTAGGGCAGCCTCTGCACTGTCCTTATGGGTCAGCTGGCATAGTAGGGAAGGCTGCAGCTCCTGTTCCACTCCTCTGCCATCCACATGGCCATAAGTAAGAGTTAACAGGAGCCGCCACCAGTTGGCAGCTCCAGATTTAAAAACATTGTCAGGGCTTTTTTTTGTTTTTTTTTTTTTGTTTTTTTTTTTTAGGTTCCAGGTGGCTAAGCTGTCTATCAGAATTGTTGTTATACATGAGTGTGGCACTGAATCCGTGTATAACAAGACTCTTGATTGACAGCATTTTTTTTTTTTTAAAGAGGGGTTGAGATGGGAGCTCTGCCATTCACGTGGTGCCTGCAGTTACTCATATAGAAAGCTATCCTAAGCATGGGCAGGTGGAGCTCCTTCTTCCCTTTCCTCTCAGATTCTTTTGTGCCTGTTTACATTTCGGGTAAATGTAAACATACCCTTTTACAAAACATGTGTTATTTTGGTTTTGTCTGAGGTTACTTCTCCAGTGAGCTAAGTTTCTTGCTCTGTATCTGGTGTTACACAAGTTGATGCACTGCAGGATTGCTGGAACTTTGACTCCATCCTGAAAAACATGTCTCAGATCTTACATTCCAATGTAAGAGAGTTTTCTGGCTCCTCTTCAAGAAGAGAGATCTGTGAACCCCTGTGATTGTATCAAAACTGAGGGCTGTGTTATGTGCTTCTGGATTACATAATCTGCAGTTGTTGTTTAAAGGAGGGAAGCAAAACAAAATTTATTGTTGCTATGAGGCAAGCCTATCTCCCATCTGATATCAGTTTTGTTTCTCTTATCACTGTGGTTTTGCATTCCTGCTTATCCTATCCCATGCTGTCTGTTAGCAGACAGCTATTTGTAAAACTTGTTTTCTTCATAAGGCGTTTTTGGTCACTTCTGCTCTCAAAGAACTAATTGCCTTATTCAGAAAATTCAGTAAAATACTTCTTCTATTTGTATTTTTCACCTGCATTTTATTATCTTTCAGGGTTTGGGTATCTCCTAATTGAAATCCCAACTTACAAGTGAATCCTCCTCAGCGAGCCTGTTGGATGTCTCTGAGAGCATAAGAAGTCATGGCGGAAAATGATGCAAAGCCAACAGTACCAAAAAAGAGTGGTCCATACATTTCATCTGTAACCAGTCATGGCATGAATTTGGTAATTCGTGGTATAGTGCTGTTTTTTATTGGCGTATTTCTTGCATTAGTGTTAAATTTGCTTCAGATTCAGAGGAACGTTACTCTCTTCCCCCCTGATGTGATCACAAGCATCTTCTCCTCAGCTTGGTGGGTTCCACCTTGCTGTGGCACAGCATCAGGTAAGTTCAGTTGTGTACCTATGCCTGGCATGGGAATGAAAGGTTGCATAGGGAGTTGTGGTTAAAAAAACCTTCATGTGAAAGATGTGGTAGTTAAAAATGTCTTTCAGCAACATTTTTGTTGCTACCCCGACCACCTTGTATAGGCAGATAGGCATACATGTATCCAAAAATTCTTGCTCTACTAACTTGCTACACTGTAATATTGTTATCAGAACACAAACCTTTATTTTTCTGCAAGGTTAGAGTACAGTTTTATTAGATTTCAGAAGGTGGTGCAACGTGTAACTTCAGGGCTGGATTACAGCAGTGTGCTCCGCAGGCACTGGGTTTATCAGATGGTGCTACGTGCTGCAGCTTGCATGAAGCAAAGTGAAGCACCCTGAGTAATGCTCCATTTTGTGTTCCAGCTTTCCATTTGATCCTCAGTTCAGTTTGAGGCATTGCTTTATCTCTGTAGGACTCAAAGGCCTGACTGCTTTTCAGGGAGTTCAGGCAAGATATGTGGTGTGTGCAGTTGTAGCAGCGTGTTACAGCACAGAGCACCTCAGATAGAGCTGTGTATTGGGTTGGATGATGTGAACATGCTCTGTTTTTCCCTTGATCACTTAGAGAGTAGAGGCTTTTCTGTGTGGTTTGGGAGCTAGTTTAAGTGAGTTGTCTGCTGTAGGCAGTAAGAAATAGCCCTTTTTCTTTCATCTTCAAGTGTCAAGAGGAGTATTCTGTGTTACAACTATAGTTTGCTATAGTTGCAAGTTTACTATAGTTGCTAGAGTAGATGCAGGCAGTCTCAATGATAAATGCTGATAATTCGTCTGTTTTGTTACCATTTTGACTTGTACAGCCTTCTGAAACTGACATGAACGTTCCTTTGCAGTGTGGTTTATTTTTATGAACAAAATAAAGATAGTTTGCATATTTACAATCAATAACAATGGAGACTGCTTTCAGAGATAGTAACAGGGAAGAATGAAAAACTAGTCATTGGTTTGGCCTGATGTCTTTGGCAAGAAAATTGCTTATGGAGGATTTGTTTTCTTCTCTAGCTTTACTCATGGTTTATTTCCGTGAATGCTGGATATCAGGTTCCTCTCTGGCAAAATAAAGAGCTTTTGCCATAACACACCTGTAAAAGCATGCCAAATGGAGGGTATTACAGTCCATACCAATTTCTCAGTCTCTGCCTCCCTCCTGCAGCACCAGTTTGATGTTAAGCAATGGTGTTAATTCTCAGCTTTGTTGGTAACAGTCTTTTTAGCTGCAACTGCAATACAGGATAAGTTTAGGAGTAAATGTTTAAAGAGCAGTTCCCTGGGCTTGGAAGTCCTGTGTGCTGTCTGTATTCAGCAGCTACTGTAGGCTAATGTCTTTCTCTCTTACTTGAGTCTTCATAGTAGCATTGAAGAAGAGCAAAACATTACCCAAAAACTGCTTGTAAAACAACAAAAGAAGACACAAAATATTGACGTTATAGACCACACTCTTTTCTTGTTGTGGTGTGTTTACTTTGCAGTTACTTTAATGTGTATATTTGATATGGGGGTTTTCAAAAGTGCCAGCCTGCAAGCTATTGCTGCTCTTTTTGAATTCCACTGAGATAGCATGGATTCTGGTAGGGAGCAGAGCTCTCCAGTTGGCTCAGTCTTAAAGTCTTTTGCTGCTGTGTCTGAAGATGCTGCTGAACAGTTCTACAGGGCTTGTTAAAACCATGAAACTGTTTAACTTACTGTTCTTCTGTGATTTTTTTGCCATGTGTGTTTTGTATTGTGTGCTTAAAAGAGTTGTTTTGGTTACAGTAATTGTCAAAATCAAGCTAGTCTTTGTGTTAGCTCAGTATTGCCAGTGCTTTAATTTTTTGGCCTTTCTTCTTTTGTGTTTCCACAGCTGTAATTGGGTTATTGTACCCATGCATGGACAGACATCTGGGAGAGCCACATAAATTTAAGAGAGAATGGTCCAGTGTAATGCGCTGTGTAGCAGTCTTTGTGGGAATAAATCATGCCAGCGCTGTATCCTGTATGCCAATGAAACTGGCGATAAGAAATAAGTTTCCAGTAAAGCAAAAGTTTACATCATCGCTCATCGTGAGTTGTTAGAAATGTAATGTGCAGTGTGTTTGCGGAGGAAATGCTGAGTATGTCTTAGTGTTAAACTGTCATAGCGTTATTGGAGATGGTAAGTCTCATCTGTTTGGGTTCAGAAAAATCTTTCCGTTAGAATTTCTCAATGTTGGGTTTCGACTTTTAGTCTTTGTTTTCTCTGAAAAATTAAGTGTAGGGAAATGCTTATGTGATACATACTACAGAAAAATGCTTTAATTTCAAGGTTTGATTTTCTTTTAACACTGTAGTTAAAGGTTGAAGCCCAATCTTGAGGTTACCAGTGAACACGTGCACTTTGTAAAGGGTGGGGAAGAGTTAGAACTGGGTGACACCAGGGCTGCACACTGCATTTTTCAGGTGTTGTTACCTCATTCCACAAATGTGGCCTAGATGCTGATAGTTACCTTTCCTGTGGTATAAACTGATTTGAAAGAACATTTATGTTCTCTGGAACTCATTCCTTTCACTGTTAGCTTCAACACAGCAGAAATGTGTGGCGGTAGTGCTAAGAGGCTACTGAATTTCCAGGAAAAAAGCACAGGTTGGTGAATAATGTGAGAACTGAGAGAGCTCTTACTGGCCTTTGGATATTTTTGTTGTTGTTGCTAGTTGGCTTGTGGGATTAAAACCAATCCTGCATGGCCAGACAAGCTGGAGCTGTCAAGGTTGAGTCATTCGTGGTGTCTCTTACAAACCTTGTTTGTTTTCTTTTTGTCAAAGATTTGTTAATGTAGTCCTGTAATTCTCATCAGCTGTACCTGCTCTGTGAGCAAATAGAACTTTGTTGCCTTGCAGAAATGCAAGAGAATTGATAGTGTTTCTTCACATGGTTCAAGTTATTTGCAGCAAACCTTGCAGTTTTCTAACAGCTGTTGCACATATTCCAGAATAACATTAATGTACTGTGTTTCCTCCTTGACAGCTCTCCCAGAAGGCTGTCTTTTTGGTTTATTACTAGCTCTGCACATTACCATATTTGGTGTGGTTTTTGTTCATTTGGCATTTTTTCTGATGCTATTGATTTTCATCCTGTAATTAATTAATTTTACTTATTAGTTGAACTTCTTTCTAATTTCCTCTAGCTCTCTCCAGGCCTTTGTGAGAAAGTAGGACAGTGATTTTTATGTTTTCATCCCACAAATTTGCTTTCAGGCTTTTGAAACTCAACAGCTGTCTTTTCAATAATCTCTTTTGGAAACAAATAGTGAGGATGAGTTGGTATTTCCAAAACATTTTGAAGAAGGTGAAACAATACAAATAGCCTGAGTCATTATTGTAGATTTCATAAAAACTGATTTTCAGTGTTGAGTACTTTCACAGTAATATTTTCTACATTTCATTTTTAAGAAAGCACTTAATGTTCTGCTGAATGCAAACTACCATGTCATTTAAACACAGTAGAAGAAAGAGTGACAAGTATCTTTTTTTTCCCCTCCCGTAAATCTCTGCCATTTAAAAGAGTTTAATGGCAGATTTAAGATTTCATGCATAGTGTAACGAAGGACCAGATAAGGATGGAAAGTCCTTATTCTGAATAGTAATGTGCATTTTTTTGTGCATCTAAAACTATTGTGTTATTTGGTAGATATATAGTCTTAGCTCTTTTACAGTACTATGACCCTAAAAACATGAAGTGTCTTCACACGTTAGTTTCCTGATATGCTGGCAACATTTACAAGGCTTATTTCCTTCTACATTGTAGTTGTGTGGTAACAGATACAGCTAGTGCTGTATTTTTTATGGTGGGAAAAACTATTATGTTAAAGTATATGACGAACAGAACAAAGAAAACTACATTTGCATTTGTTATTTTCAAACTTTTCCTTAACAATTAACACAGAAAGTGGATTTTGCCAACAATATCCAGTTGTCTCTCACGTTAGCAGCCCTGTCAATTGGGCTGTGGTGGACATTTGATAGATCACGAAGTGGCTTTGGTCTTGGAGTAGGAATTGCTTTCCTGGCCACGTTGGTGTCACAACTTCTGGTCTACAATGGAGTTTATCAGTAAGTATTTCTTTGAAGCTAACTAATAACATCCTGAAGCTGTAATGTAAAGTCAGAATAACTGAAGGGGCTGAATTTGATATGAATTGTAAAATAGTCAGAATTTAATTTGGGGAGTAAAATAAATTTGTGATAGCTCGGTATTAAGACCTTCAGTTGGGAGTTGCTTATTTCAGTAAAATTGCTGCTTTTATCAACAATGTTGATTACTTTAAGCCATTAAGTTTCTATAATGGTGGCATTTTGAGTTGAAGTGTCTATAACTTAAGTCTGTAAATTTGTTCCCTGTGATTGAAGAACTCTCCTTTATATGTGGCACAAGTTTGAGCTAAAAAGCTGTTTTTTTCCAGATACACATCTCCAGATTTCCTTTATGTTCGTTCCTGGTTGCCATGTATATTTTTTGCTGGTGGAATAACAATGGGCAATATTGGCAGGCAGCTGGCAATGGTAAGTATGGAGGAAGGACTGACTGCCTTCTAGTGATGCTGCTAGTCTACATGTCACTGCTTCCTTTGTATGTACCAATCAGTTATTTGAACTGGAGATGTGGGATGAAGTAGAAACTGGTAATTGTTGCTTTTTGATTTGGTTAGTGAGCCGTCAGTGCTTCTAATAGGAACGTGGCTCATTGCTTTGCTCTGTATGCTGGGGTGCATGCTTTATTTCAGAAGCTAAATGAGAGCACCAGCTTTTAGGGGAGAAGTCAAGCCACTCTTAAATCTGTACTGTTTCTGCTGCTCACAGGGACAGAAATCACAGCCAGCATTGTTTGCACAGAACTTAGGGAGACCAAGCTTAAGTGGGTAGAATACTAAGCTGAGCTATTTCAAAATTATTATTGTAGAAAATTCCCCTTTTTTTTATTAGGTATGTGCATAATTATTATTGTTTTGCCAATTTCTGTGTTTCAGTATGAATGCAAAGTCATTGCAGAGAAGTCTCACGAGGACTGAGGAAGAACAGTATGCACCTTTAAAACAGGAGAATATCTGACAAATGACTGTTGGAGGAGCGTAAGGAACACTTGACTATGAAATTGCCAAAATGCAATTTTTTTTTCTCTTCAGTGGTATATTTTACTGCAATCTGTGATTGCTGCTTCTATAGAAACTTTAATGTCTGATTTTTGATTACTGTGAAGTTACAATAGTATGCAATACATTTGATAATGTTGGTTCAATTATAGGATTCTTTTTTCCAAATCTAAACTGAGTTTACCATAACTTCTTGTCTGTCTATAATGTTGCAGTGCCAAACTGAACCTTTGCACTATGTTTCTGTAGCTGCAACTTCTGCTTCACTTTATCTTGAAAGTTTTGAGGAATTTGTTCTTAATAGCTCAGTGAAAAATGCGGGATTCAGACTTAGGAATGAAGATCTTCTCTTTACATGATGTTAGCTAGGAATACACTTAAGAAATTCATGGTTTGCAAGTGGGCCTTGATGCAATAAGTAACTGATTTCTGCCTATTAACACACTGTCATTCACATCACAGAAGAGGAGGCTTAGTATGAATTGTGTGGGTTATTGATGCATCATTTCATTTGTTTTCTGTGTCCAGTATCATATATCCAGAACAAAGAAATAGAAACTGGGGCTGGAAACAATACACATGCTTGGATATGGATTTGTGTTGAACCATCATCAGATGTGGACGAACTCTCTGAAATTACTTTTTGTATTGAGTAAAAGGATGCAATGCAGTTCATTTTTACTCTATAGGGTGGTGAGGTGCAGGAACAGGCAGAGAAGATGTGGATGCCCTGTCCCTAAAGGAGTTTAAGGCTGAGTTGAATGGGGCCTGGGTAGCAACCAGCCCATGGCAGGTTGCTGGGATATGTTAGGGTTTTTTTTATTATAAAACTTCATTCTGCTGAACTAAATCAGCCACTACCATATAGTGTCAGAAAGACCTCCATTACCAATGCTATTTCTGTTAGTTCTTGTCTTTTCCCCGTAATGTTTGCAGGGAAGACAAAGGCTGTGTTTTAGGTACTGAAGTAGCCCTTACTGCTGTAACAGTGGTCCAGGCACTCAAATACATTTGTTCTCATAGCAACTTTGTGAAGTAGAGAGGTACTGTTGTGCTTATTTTACAGGTGCCTGTGCACAGAAAGTCTGACAGGACAGAGCTGAAACAGGCCACGTGCTAAATCTGTTCTCTTCTTGAGAAGGACTTTAGTGTGATCCGTGGTCATGGACATGCATGGAATTTCTTCATGTTGGCTTTGCAGCTCCCTTTTAAGATCCTGAGACAAAAGCAACAGTGCAAGAAGGCAGAAAGGAGACTTAAAGAGGATTCTGCAGCCTATGCCAGTAGTAAATTTGGTGTGAAAAGTCTCTGCTTTGTTTTCCTCCTATTTCTGTGTTAATGTTTTAATGTGTTGGTTGGTTGTTTGTCTTGAAGTATATTTTTTTAAATCTTCTATGAAAGGTTTATAAGAAATGTTACAGTCACCTAAGGAGACTGGAGTTGGTCCAAAGAACAAATAGATGCTTAGACAAGTTTTTATTAATGTGTATATACATTGTACACAAAGCTTGGAATAGGAAACTCTTCTTCAGTCTTACACACTTATTCTAAGTGTGCTTCCAAAAACATTGGCCGTGAGAAGGAAAACTTATTGATTGGAAAACTGTGAAAACAATAATCAAGTGATGTACTTGGTTCTTGGAGCTTGGTTCTGCAGCTCCACTCTTCCATTAGCTTATTAAGGTTCCATGACAATTCTGCACCAAAAAGCACTCTTACATTTGGTAACAGCTCAAGGATGCACTTGTAGATGCTCTTGATTTTAAAAACTGTCACAGAACATGTTGCAGCAGGTTGCTGACTAGAGATTTGCTTTTAATCAGACCGTGATAATAACAATCATTTAATGAATAACACAAAGAAACCTTTTGAGCATGAAGTGAGTTTCCTTAGGCAGGCTCTGGTATACCACTAAGAATAAAAACTTGTCCTTTCTGTGCAGTATTTGGCCTTATCTGCCTTCTTCACTTAAACAAATGGTTTCAGCTTGGCAGGCAGCATGGTGAGTCCCTCTTGGATTATCAAGGTACAAGTGGCATAAAAATGCAGATGTTGGTTCTTATCCTAACCGGAAAAAAACATAGTACCTCAGTCAGTGAGCTGACTTGGTGAACAATTCGGTTTCATCCTGATCAGTAAGTGTGTACAACTGGAGATGAGTTGTTTGTGTTAGTCACTTGGTGATAGAGCTGCTTTTACTACCAGTCTAAATATTTACACAGAAGCCTTGTGTATGTTAAAATGTGTGCAGTATGTGAGAAGTGGTTATTTGTGCATTTCTGGCACACACTTTAAAGCACTTTGTACTCAGATTATCTATACACGATCAGACTGTGCTGTCAGCTACCTTTTAAATTTCATTTTGGAAATTTTGAGCATGTCTTGCAAAGGCAGCAGTCATCCAGAATACCTTTGGGTGGAGTCCTTTATTACATGTGTTTTATTTTTTTTATTGTTATTTGACTGAAGTTGCTACAAGATTTGAGATCTTGGATGTCTTTTTTTTTCAAACTGCATTGTAACTTTATGGCTGATGTGTTCATACCCTGAAAAAGGTCCAAGATGGGAATGCAGACACGGCCTTAACTGTAGTGGTGTGAACATGCTACTACTGTATAGCATGTAATTACAGACCGTCTTTAAAATGTTGTTCAACAGAAAATAAATAAGGTATATTTTAGATACAACTTTATAAGCACTGTAACCTCTTCACTAATTAAGCATTGTAAGCTCTATGCTGTTTAAGCTGGCAAATTGCTGTTAAAAGCAAAATGTGCATTAAATACAACGATAACCTTGTTTGATAGATTTCTTCTTTTGTTTTTAAATGCTGTTGATTTAAAACAAACAGAGTTGCCTTCTATCAGCCATCTTGTAGTAATTTTGATCACTGATCTGGCATATTGGTTCTACCAAACACCTGTCTGGAAGTACTAAAAAAGGAACAGCTGATCAAAGCAGCAGTGATTCGATTGTAATTAGCATGCTGATCTGCCTTGGAAAATTTGGCCTTTTGAATCCACATTGGGAGTATTGTAGCTGGGGGAAAATAAACCAGATCACTTCAGCTGCAATACGGAAGAGATTCAGATTTAAATAGTTCTTGAGAATATGGGAAAGAAAACAAACCACCGCAGGTGGCAGGAAATCTTATAATAATATATTTGTATTGTTCTGGTCTGGATATCAATGGAACATGAAGTATTTGTTCGTCACTCTGTGTCAAGCAAGTTGTTGCTTCCAAACACAGAGAGGTTTGGAAATGTATAATGAAAAAACCTGAAGGCAGAGTGAGACAGCAGGTGAGCTTCATCCATATTTCAGGTGTATGGTTGCTCCAATTGCAATGGAGCTTAACGTTGGAAAGAAGGTGGAGGCAAATGGAAAAGAGCTGTGTTTGCGTTGGATGTGGTAAGCTGTGACCCAAAAACCTAACTGCTGTCAAAAGGCAGTCATGGTTATGCCAAGTGTCTGACTTTACAGGCAAAAATAAAAATGACTGTGATTTTAGACAGCCGTAGCACAGTTCATTCAGTTGCGTGCTGGCAAAGCTGCTTTGCTGGCCCTCCATAGCCTGTCTGGGAGAGCAGTGCCCTGGGCAGTGGAAAATGTGTGTCCTGCCTCTGCTGCCTGTGGCTACAAATGGAAAGTTGCCCAATTGAGAGTGTATTCCACCCAGCTCTCTTGAAAGGCATTTTGTGCCTGCTTTTGTAGCACTGCTGATGTGCGTAGCTGGGAGAGTAAACAAAGTTTCCTCCACAGCTTCCATGCTTCTCTTCTGCCATCTGGTTGGGACCTGATGCGGGTGTTGTGGCATCCCAGCCTTCTTTCTTCTCTCCCAGTGTGTGAGGTGGGGATGTGATTTTACCAGCAGCATCACCCTGAGTGTTATGCATTTGCTTTTTACATTTGGGGACGAATGAACGTAATGTATGTAAGTGATGTTAAATAAAAAATATAATGCTTATACAGTTACTTGCACAGCTGGCAGAAGGAACACGTGTCTTGCAGTGGGAATAACTATCGAATGCAGTTAGCTTTGATGCCAATATTAAATGCAAAGCATAAGTAATTTTGCAGCTTAATGTTCAGCACTAAATGAAAGGTCAGTCCAGCACGTTAAGTGTTGTGGAATAGTAAACACCACCTTAATTGCTTCATACAGTCAGCGTGGAGATGTAGTGTCTGTTGTCATACTTTAAGCAGCACGGTCCCTAATCAGGACAAGGCTTCTTGTTCTGATTACCTTCCCCACTCAAATGACAAAGCCTCAAATTAAAGGATAAACTGGGGCTTTGTGTACTGGGAGTTTGTGCTTTGAATGCTTAAAGTCACTCCACGGAAGAAGAACAGGTCATTTCTTGTTCTGACTGGAGCTGAAATCCAGGTTGAAGGATGATTTTGCATTTTATTGAGGTTTTCCTTTCTTGCTTTTCCTTTCTGAAGTGCTTAAGCAGTTCCTGTTGCACTACCACGCAATTTTAGTTTGCCTATAGCATGTAGGAGGCAGAAGAGAAAAGAAAGAAGATAATGGGAAAGGGCTGCTGCTATGCTTTCCCCCAGGTACGTGAGTTAGGAGCTCAGCATACAGCACGCCATGTGCATCAGCATAGGACTCCCATCCTACAGCATCCCCAGATTCATGTTCATAGGCTAAGGTTCTGCACTGACAGTGGTTCTGCCTTTGCTTTTGTACTGAATATGTGTGTATGGCGGGCTAATGCAGGAATACTCGCACACAGCCAGCATTTTGTAAGGTATGTGCTATGGCCATAGGGTGCTGCAGCAACTACTGTAAGTTATGCAAGGGGTAGCTCCAACACTTGCCATACTGTTGCAAGAAAAAGTAAGTGATTGGTTCAATTTTTCACACTGGATTTCTAAGCAGGAGAGGAAGAAGAGCTTCACAGATACAGTGCGGTATTGCTGACTTGCTTGGACCTTTACCTGCTGCCAAGACATCCCTCTGCTGGCCACTGGGCCACGTTTGGTCCTGTCTGCTTTATCCTAACCCAGATGTGCTGGGTTTTGGCTCAGCGTCTGGGGAACCATCCTAGTTCCCAGCGTGACCTGGCTGTACCAGTAGGGAACGTGTAGGAAATGGCTGTAGTGAGGTTAGTGAGGTCTCACTGGGATTAGTGCAGTCATCTTGGATTTTGTGAGAAACCAGCAGTCTGCTCCAGTTGCTCAGGGTGGTGGTGACTTTGTTAGAGCTGAGGAAATGGGGCTGCACTGTGCTTAGGAGGAGTGAAGGTCCCTGTGAGGGCATTAAGGGCATGCATCAACTATAGGTTCTCATGCAAAGTAAAGTTGCCCTGCCTGCAGACTTGTTTCTTGTCTGGAACAGTGAATCTTACCACTGGTGTGCCAAAGAGAGAACGCTGTTTCTTCTCCTCCTCCTTCTTGCTCTCCCTTTGCACTAATACACTGGAGCCTGAGTTAAGGACACTTAATCCTATTCTTGGAACCAGGACTATTTATAGGCTGGGTCAGCACTGAAAGACTCCACTGTTTTCTCCTAAAAACAAATGCTTGTTCTGTGCTGCACGTCAAGTGCAATCACTGTTGAATGGGCTGACATGCAAAGCCAAGTTCTCAACTGAGCTGGCACAGCTCCACTGCTTGTGGTGGGTGTATGGCACGCCATGCTGGTCAGGAATTCAGCCCACTGTGTTTGAAGGGGGTGAAATTGTTTTGAGCTCCTTTCTGTAGCGTGCCACAGGTCCAAGAAGCATTGCACATCCAGTGTGAGCCCTCAGCAGATTCTGCCTGTCCCTCTTTTCTTTCGCTGCTGATGGGAAGTGTCATTTTCTTTGATCTGCAGTGTGTGCCTTTTCTATGGTATCTCAGCTCTTTGGGGGGACAGATGGATTTAATAGTAATCACATCTGCCTGATGGGATTAATAATGATGCAAATGCCAAATGTTGGCCACCGATGAGCTTGTTGTCACGACGGCTTGCCACAGTCCTGCATGTTGTGTCCAGTCTCACTTGTAGGAAATCCGACTGATGATTTGTTTTGGACCTGTGCCTGTTCTGATTAAACAGGAGAGAGTGAAATAATTCCGCCTTGTGTGGTTTCAGGCCCCTCTTGCCAACCAATTCCCTCAAATGAGCATAACAAGCAAAATTGAAGCTGGAGAGGTGACTTAAAGAAGATAAATGGGGAGCTCCTAAAGAGTGATGCTTCGAGACCATGAATCGATACAGTGATGTATCTTTGGCAATGATAAGTACTAGAAGAAATGATAGAAATGTAGTGTTACATAAGTAATAGATGTAGAAGCATGGTAGAATGAGAAGTACATAGCATTCCTGGAAAAATAGCACAGGGAAGAGGGTCGCTTAGTAAGCTGGCTGGAAGTAAAGGAAGCTCCATTTCAGTGCCAGATCAAAATGATCAGCGCAGTGACTCAGAGATAGATGGAATGAAATTGGTTATAGGCTGCTACACAGCAGAGTATTAGGGATATGAGCTGGGAACAGGACTGTGCACACACACATTGTCCTAGTGGCCAAGCACTGGCACAGACTGCCTAGGGAGGTGGTGGAATCACCATCCCTGGAAGTGTTCAAGAACTGTGGAGATGTGGCACTGAGGGACATGGTCAGTGGGCAGTATTGTGGTAGGTGGGCAGTTGACTTGGTGATCTTAGAGATCTTTTCCAACCTTAATGACTCTATGATTATATGATCCCCATCAGTTCAGAGGAGCCACCAGAGCCTCATACGGAGCTGAGTGATAATTGTACAGTTTTGCTTTACTGTTAACCAAGTGTTGAAAAAAGCAGTTTCTTCTCAACGCTGCCTTGTCAGAACACTGGGCACCGCTTGTTTTTGACATTTCCAGCTACTGTTAAATAATAGTCTTGCTTCTGTCACAGCTAATGTTGACTTGAAGGCAGTTGTGCATTTCTCAACTCAAATGCTAAGCAGACAGACTTGGGTCTTGACAAATATTTTCCTGGCTCGCCCAAGGCAAGTAAAAATGAGCTTCTAGTTAATCGTTTGTTTTAAAATTCAAATTGGTGAAATAGGCAATTAAAAAATGACAATTTTCATCAGAATTTGCAAATTAAACGTCTCTTTGCAGTCAGAGCGGGTTCAAGAAACTGCAACAGATAATTGCTATTTGAAATCAGTGAAGTATCCAGCATTTTAGGGCCGTGAGGACTGTGGCTGTTCTGCCTTAGTAAGCCTTGATTGATTTGGTAAATAAGCATTTCAACTTCTCTCTTTAAAATAAATAAGCAGTTTTATTGCTTTATTGCTTACCCGGTATGGGAGGTGAGCCGGCTCTCAAGCAGTAACCCTGTGATATCACGCGCCCGAGTGCCATCTGTCACAGAGAATTTTGTCCCTTTATGCACGATGGCTTCTTATGGCATTAGGTCCATTGTAGGTTAATTGATTAGCAGCGACCCTCCTTTCAGTTGTTGCTGCCTTTCTTCGCTGAAGGACCATATCTCTCATCTCCATTTCCTTTTCTCTCCCCTACATTAGCATACTAATCACACCGAACTCCCACTGCTAAAAAACTCTATCCATTTTATATGGGGGAGGGGGAGGAATAAACTGGCATTTCCTGAGAGAATCGCAGCTGCTGTTCTATGGCAGCAAGATAGGAGGGAAAGAAAAGAAGCAATGGCAGAGGTGAGCAGCGCAGTGCTGGCTGAGACTGCAGCCACGTCAATATTAAACATGTTTAAGAAGCTCTATTAAAATAAATATCAAAAACACATCTGCTTCTCTTCAGATTTTGCCACAGTTCCCTACATTTGTTTTCTCTCCAGCTGTTAACACCTGTCTTTCTGTCAGTGCTAATAACACTGCTTTAGGTGGGTTACGGAGCTGACAATAACATGAAAGAATTCTCCATTTTTGATGTGCAAAACTCCTTTTTCAACAATAAGAAGCGAATAAAGATGTATCCTTGTGCTGATCCTTCAAAGCACTGTATTTTCGTGTTCTTCATTTTTTTTAGATCAAGCTACAGAGTTATGCTTGCATTGCACAGCAGAGCTGGAGCTAGATGAGGCATCCTGCAGTGGGCAGCTCCTGCTCACCTTTGTAGTTCTCATTTTATTGCTGACATATTCAGAAGGGTGTGTGTGCGTGGTACTCCTTGCTCCATGTGATGCTTGTTATCTAACCTCATCAAAAGCATATGCTGTGCATTGATTGCTACCAGAGAACATGTATCCAGTGGTGATGTCTTCTTTACATACTTCTTAAATGAGCACGATATTCACAGGGCTGCCTGAAGAAAGCGAGCGTTTTATGCCTTTGCTGCAGTCATCCCAATACAAGGATGATAAGAAGATCCCAGCTGTCTTGGCACTGAAGGTAATGGAACAGATCTTCAACCAGAGCAAACTGAGACCATGTACTGTGTTTGTTTACCTAATGCAGAAGAAAAAAATCTATTTATTCCTTTTGGCTTACAGAAACACAGCCTGATATTTGGTGAAAAACACTGATGAGAAATATCCCAGATGAAGAAGAAATA